GTTCTTATATTATTATATCATAAGGTTATAGATACACTTATAATAATTAGGCCAAAGAGATCCTGTTAGTTTCGATTGGAGTCTTGAAAATGCAATGTATTTTATTCATTGGGTCACGTATAGGCCTATACGTTTAACAATGCGAAACATTAACGTTTGAATTATTTCACTATATAAATCAGTGGTGAAGTCATCACTTTCATTTGCATTGAATTTTCCCATTCCCGACTGATCACTAATTCGATATAGTGCCTCCGGTTTTTTGTGTCTCGTGTGAAAAAAGCTCAAAGCTGGGGTGATTTTACAACAGTATTCTTATGCTTTGTTTATGATTCACTTTTTTTTCTTAACCGAAAATGAACACGCAGGTCCGTACAGTGGCACATACAGTAGTATTAATACCAGAAAGTGGTTAAATAAATTCTAAACGAAATTTATATGTTTACGAATCTTGACTTGGTGTTGCTATTTATTGTTTTTAATGTTTTCAACGATTTTTCAGTTTTTGAATGTTTGAACATTAGTTTTTCGCTGCAATTCTTCTATTTCAAATTTTATTGTATTTTTAATGTTTTTTTTTTTATCTTTTTAACTACCATATTGATCGAATTCATTGATGATTGTGCAGTGTATTTATATTTTTTTAAATATAAATTTCATTGATAGGCCTATTTTACTTGAATATTTTACGCTAATTTAATTTATGTTCTCATTGGATTCGGAGAGCCACTAGATAGTGATTCAGTTCACTTTTTGTGTCCTGTCCGGCAAAAACTGAGTGTTCTTTTTTGCTTGCTGTTATCTTGTGTTTGTCCAGATTTTTTTAACAGGGGTGGGCACAACGTTTTGAGGATATATAAGGCAGTAACCCCCTCCCCTTTATTGGATCCTCGCTTGATTTTAATATTTCTTCATTGACAAGTTTTGAAAAATCAAATTTAAATAAAAACAATGATAAAAAAGACTGCTTTAATTTATAGATTCGATATGTAGATGGTAAAATAACAACCAATGATGATGTGCCGTGGATACGATTTATTAGTGCCGCTCGTAATGACGTCGAACAAAATACAGAAGCAACCACTGACACAAACGGACAAGTTATATTACGAACAACGAGGCGAATATCAGTCGGCGAAGAGCTGCTCGTCTGGTACTCGGACAAGTTACAACAACTCATGAATATCCCACAAGTACTTCCATCACGAGATCACACAGGTAGAGAAGAATACATCATATATTTTATTTTATATCTTTAAATTTTATATTCTGTATAAATTATATTATTAACTAATTTTTATTTATTTATTTATTTCTTCTTTACCCTTGTTGACCTGATGCAGAACGCATTATTATCCTCCATGGCCTAGGGCCCACCAATTCACAAAGGCCTATTCATAGTCGAAACAAAATAGGCCTAGGCTATAGCTTTGTAAGAATTACTTAGTATTTATTTAAAAATCTCCGAAAACAAATAAAGCAAAGACATAATAAATTATTAATGAAGGCTTAAAAGAGACCACCAAATTTTATTTACTGTCCATAATATATGCAAGTATATGTGTATAGGCCTATAATAGCTTTTGCTAGTGCAAATGGACGGATCGAAATCGCGTCAACAGGTGCCGTTCCGAACCTCACTATAACTGTCAAAAACACAGTGTGAATCCTCTATTCCAATCACATAAATGAATAGAGAGGTGATCGATGCTGCTCTGTTAAACGTTTATTATTATAGAGTACTTGTTTTTGACATACACATTCCGACCATACCAGAATGGATAATCGTTAACCGATAGACAATCCCTATTGTTTTGTCGTATAAGGAGATCTCCTTTTGCTTTGGACCGTTATCCAGCTCATCCTAGCAGTATATAAAGCGATTTGTGCATTTAGCCTAGCACACTAGGCCGTGTCTCCCAGGGTGGAGGTGATGAGATCGGTACCATAATCTGTCAGTAATAACGAGTTTTAGTTTTAAGGTTTTAACCTATTAAATTTTATCGGAAATCCTTCGAATGTCACCACAAGTATTAATGAATACGTTGCATCTCGTGGAAAACCTATTCATAAATCCTAAGGTAATAAAATTTATTAAATTGAAAAATAATAGGGAACTAGCCTACAAGAGCAATCGAAACGTGAGGTAAGCATGATTTCAACTTATATTTTTTGGTTCAACAAAGAATCAAATTAACACGAAACTTCAGTGTCAACGACTGTGGTTTTTGATTGGAAATCTGTACAGCAGGTACGATATGCCTACACGACATTTGAACAAATACAGGCCTAATTGCTGAATGATCTCCGTATCGACTAATGTACACTCTATCGATCAAATTTATGTGTTATTACACTTTGATAAACTAATTGAGTTTTTCCACATTGGTTTAAGCGAAGTAATTCGAAAGAGTAATACACAATACAGTAATTTGTATTGGTACATTATACAAGTGAGAATCTTAAGCTCGCTACAGTAACGTGTGTCCCGTTTAATACACCCGCACTGCTTTCTCCCCTCCTTAAATAGACAAAAATCATCCAAGTGAAATGTTACTGGAATGTGGCCTATTTCATAAAAGTACTATCAGGGGACGGGGACGTCAGTGTGAAATTTATTTTAAAATCAGATGACCCTTTTGAACTTAGCAACTTGTTGAGTAATGCCATTTTTTGCTTGTTAAAATGAATAAACTAGGTTGTTCCACGGCATCCCTGCCTAACTCGTGCTTCTTTTCAAGCTCTCCTAATTACAGGTGTTAAGGTTTATCAGGGAGGGAAATTAATGAGTTTTTGTAGTCTGATGTAACTATTTTACCTCGTATCTTAAAAGTAATGTTATAGTATAGAATCGGTACATACCGTGCCAACAACATTCTCAACACGCACTTCTGGATCTTGCATGTTCGTGCGGCGCTGCGCTTATTCATTTTACTATTTTAGGCCTACTCTTGGAAACATACTTAGTATCAAGCAACTTTTCTCCCCCAGGTCCAGTTATGCTCCCATACAATAAGGCTTAAGTGGAATCATTTAAGTGATCGTTAAAAAATGCTTTTGATAATTACCCTTGGGATTGCAAGGCAAGCATATTAACTACCAAGCTCACTTTCTCAAACCAGACCATGTTCGGAAAGTTACTATATACAACGCCTGAAATTGTCACTTAATGTGAACGAACATTCTTTTGCAATGATAGCAACTAAATAAAATGTTAATGTGTGCTCAGCGGCTGCTCAACAGCATTTCTCTATAGAATTGGAAATTTTTTAAAGTACTGTATTATTTCATCTAAATAGGCCTATTCAGAAGTTGAATTATGATAACAATGATAAAAAAAAAAATAAAACAAGATAGTATTCACACCAATCGTTTGATCATCGACCGCCACATACTACCACAGAGGGGATTTGTGAACTACACACAAAAATACGCAAGTCAAGATACCCTTTGAAATAATTGCTGACGAGTAAACCAAGGAAGGCAAAACGGGCCTGTAGGCTATCTTCTAAAAGCACCACTACCACCAATGAGCACAATTATTAGCAAATATGCGCTGATCGATGTCGGATCGATAGTTCAGCCATGAAATTGGTTCAGTCTGTTTATCGTTTTGCACACAAGATTCGGACAAAGTGAGAAAAGCTAGCCGGATCGTGCGTTCAAATAATCAATTTAATTAATTCAAAACTAGTCACATACCTGCCTCATCTTCTCTGGAATTTGTAAATCCTACACATTGGTAGCTCATTCTCCAGAGACGATGCTTAAAAATATGCTTTACAGGAACAAAAATTCCGTCAAACTCGGTCTTGTATGAATTGATCATCATATCATAATGCCAACATTATAAATATTTGTATATGCGGTAATATAATAATTATGAATGTCGGATTAATAGTGTATGGGTCTAGAATACCTTTACTAAAACGCCAGTGTCTCTGAAGTCGCTTGGCACTGGTAAAACACTCCAGTAACAGGCCTAGAAAAAAACAACGAAAAAACTTTCGGAAATTTGCATAGTTGACTGCGATTGGTTACTACATCAAATAGTGCGCACATGGCAGCAATTTGCATTTTAGTATTCAGTTGAGTAATTCATGTGTTTGTCATTGCATCTTACAGGTCAGATCAACTACGTGTGTCAGTATTGTTGCAAGAGGTACCAACATCCTAATACGCTGAAGTCGCATTTACGATTTACGTGTGTCAGAGCTTCAGTGTCAGCCGCTATGCTCCTCTCGTCATGCCAACCGATTCCGCGTCCGAAAAACATGTTAGATTTACCGACGCAATGGTCTACGAAATCAGCAAATTGTTTAGGGTCACGATTAGATATTAATTTACTGAGATCACTGGCGGACACGGTGACACACAGTGGGCCACAGGTAGGATTTCGAGCATTTAAACCAATAAGTAGATGCACTGAACATGCTAAAAGTGCTTTCAAAGCTCACCAAAATCATCGCTCTTCCGTTGAAGATGCTTCAAATAAACTGCAAATTTCAACGCCAAAATCAGAAGCATCTACTAAACTCCATTCCACAAATTCTGGTATTTCCTCATTAAATTATGATTTGACATCAAGTTTGCATTCTCGATTACATAATTCTATTCCGTCATTAGACTTCGCTGGACCATTTACGGATGCGTCCTTTAGAAATCATTTGAACACGTCTTCATGCGTCATGTATGGTTGCCCTTGCTATCTCCATCGTCATCAAGACATTCTCAGCCCGGTCGAACCATTACCGCATCACCAATATCCACTTGACTGTCGATTGACCGGCACAGACCGTAGGTCGAGCACTTCAAGTGTAGATGCCACACGACGTTGGCCGTTTTACAGCTTTTTACAGCATCCAGTAGGCAACTGGACAAAAAACCGCCAAAACCCGTCTTCCACTGAGCCGCATGTACCTGCTGATACTTCGCAATCAAAGAGCAAAAGAGGACATTTATGCATCTACTGTGGAAAGTTTTACTCCAGAAAGTATGGACTGAAGATACATCTAAGAACGCATACGGGTTACAAACCACTAAAATGTAAAGTATGTCTGCGTCCATTCGGTGACCCAAGCAACCTTAACAAACACACAAGATTGCATGCTGAAGGAGAAACGCCGTACCGCTGCGAATTCTGTGGCAAAGTGCTGGTGCGCAGACGCGACTTGGAACGACACATCAAATCCCGCCATCCGATGGAAACATCCCAGAATATAGACGATGATTTGATAAATGTGGAAGATATTACGTCATCAAGTTTAATATGCGACGATGATTCTGATGATGAACCGACGACATTATTGAAAGATTCAATAGAAACAGAATCGTGCGATAATAAAATAAGCCAAAATGTTAAATAAGTCCTAATATGTATTTTTTATGACAAACTCTCGAGAAAACAGTAGCTTGGGCCACAATTTTGAATCAAGGAGTTGTAAAATACTTGCTTAAACAATATTCCGATCGAAAACACCAGGCTAATTGAGATATCAAAATAGTTTGTTAAAATACGATAGTAAATGTAAACCATATTAAATCAATTTGATAGACCTAATTGTCGTTTGCAGAATTCATTTCATGTTATCCGAGTTCAATAATAATTATTTCAATAATTATTCTACGACAACAAATTGTACTGCAAAGCGTTTAGGGGACAGTAGCAAGTTCAGTCACTTTTCTTATTTTGCATAATTGTGTACAAATTATAGGCTCTAAGTTAAATGCAAAAGCTCATTGTGCTTACCTTCTCATTGCTTCACTACAAATATCCTTAATAGTTGTCCAGTAAAACTGGAAAAATTGCTCAACTTACCCCAGCAGATTTTAGCCGTCAGTGGGATAAGTTGGGAAACCATTTCATGAACTTATCCACCGTCTACTCTGCTGCCAAGGACTTTATATCGCATTTGTATAATAAAAGCAACCACATCAAAAAATTGAATGAAATGTGTAAGGAAGAAAATCACATTCAAATTTATTTTTGAGTGCCATTTCCGGCTACCAGAAATAGAATTTCCGGCCATCTAGAAATGAAATTTCCTACCTCAGTCCCAACCATGGTGGGGTTGAGGTGGTTTGGGCCCTCAATCTGTAAAGTTTAATTTCAAAATGGTCGCAAATGAATGAAAAAACGAATCACAATTTAGAAAAATACCAAAGGATTTAATAGTAATCATTTCATCGTTTAGGGTGACAATATTATCCACCATCAGTAATAATGTCAGACAGGTACGGTAGTACAGTACCAGCTTTTCCCTGACAGGTGGACCAGAGCCCACACCCTCTAACCCCACCATATTTGATTTCCCCATTTTTTAAAAATACAAATAGGCCTAGTATTATTGTTAGTGAGTTTTGAATTTTATTTTCAAGTACCGTACTCGCGCGAATAAGCGCCCGGGCGCTTAAAATATTTTTTTTTTGCACTTTTTAGGGGCGCTTATTCAAACGGGGCGCTTATTCGAACGGGGCGCTTATAAAAAAACAGAGTGAAAATTGAGGGGGCGCTTATGGAAATAGATGAAAATCGAGGGGTTCTTATGAGAACTTATTAAATCCATAAGGCATATTTTGAATGAAAAACGATTAAATAAGAACATCAGGAAACCGCAAATTACGAATGGTGCTGCGGCGGAAAAGATAATCGTCCAGAGAGCATGGCTTGTCATGGCAATAATGTTGTGTGTGCAGTATTACATAACAGCAGAATAGCAGATGAAATTAGTGGTGGTGGTTAGCTTGTTCGCCATCGGTCGATTGAGAATAGCAGGACGGCATGATCATTGCAGGTTTTTACATAATTCTATTCCGTCATTAGACTTCGCTGGACCATTTACGGATGCGTCCTTTAGAAATCATTTGAACACATCTTCATGCGTCATGTATGGTTGCCCTTGCTATCTCCATCGTCATCAAGACATTCTCAGCCCGGTCGAACCATTACCGCATCACCAATATCCACTTGACTGTCGATTGACCGGCACAGACCGTAGGTCGAGCACTTCAAGTGTAGATGCCACACGACGTTGGCCGTTTTACAGCTTTTTACAGCATCCAGTAGGCAACTGGACAAAAAACCGCCAAAACCCGTCTTCCACTGAGCCGCATGCGCCTGCAGATGCTTCGCAATCAAAGAGCAAAAGAGGACATTTATGCATCTACTGTGGAAAGTTTTACTCCAGAAAGTATGGACTGAAGATACATCTAAGAACGCATACGGGTTACAAACCACTAAAATGTAAAGTATGTCTGCGTCCATTCGGTGACCCAAGCAACCTTAACAAACACACAAGATTGCATGCTGAAGGAGAAACGCCGTACCGCTGCGAATTCTGTGGCAAAGTGCTGGTGCGCAGACGCGACTTTTTGATATTGACTAAAGGAGAATGTGATTCCACTCCACACCTCAAATCATGCCAACATCCACAGTCCCAGGATTGATTGGGTTATTAAGGAAATTATTGGCGCTTAAGGAAATTTTCTCGTTATGAGGGGCGCTTTTTCGATAGGGGCGCTTATTCGCGCGAGTACGGTACAGTACTTTTATTTTTAAGAAATGTTATGCATACTACTGTATAGCATTTTAAACGATTGATTTTTAGTGAAATATTGTAATAGATTTAAAGAACAACTGGACCTTTTGAAATGTGGGTGGGGAGTTCGCACCATCTGCACTACTCCTGCCTACGGGCCTGCGAAACGAATTAGACCCGCAAAAGACGAAGATACAGATCGCCAATATTAAACATGATGGCAACAGGTCAGGTAGTAATATTTTATTTCAATATATTGTATTTTATGTACACAAGTGCCACGACGAGCAGGTTCCAATCTAACGCACCCTTACTACCAAACCAAACAATTTTAGTTGTCAACAATCATACCCTAATACTCTGCATGTTCTATTATATTTGTTTAACGCTGCTAAGTTAAATGTGGTATTTCGAACACCAGTCCAAAATGACTTTTTTCCAAAATACATAAAGTTGAGGGCGCTAGGCTATTCAAAAATACCTTACGAGATTCTATCCAAAATGTAATCTTAATGAAAAGCTTGTCGAAATACGTTTCTTTCCAAATTACATCATATGGGAAGAGGGTGGAGTAGATGTTTGAATTTATAGAAATTTTTCAGTGACTTATTAAAGTTGATAACGTATGTTGTTTTGTTTTTTACCCAAATTTTTCATGGGTGGCAGTATAACTTTAATATTATGCTTATCTAACCCGTCGTTTCCCTTTCATCACCTGAGTGTTGTCAAAATAATCAAATACATAACACCTCCTTCAAAAACGAGGACATCATTTAGACTTAACACAAAACATTTTTATTTTACATTTATCAAGTCAGAAACTCTTGAATTTAGATTTACAATTTTATATACACACAAAAATAATTCATACATCTATTAATATATTTTACAATCTATTGTATATATGGAAATTAAATATTCAGATATATCGTTCTCTAAATAGATTAACTCATTTTATCCTGAATGGGACTTTCAATAATTAATAGATATGTTATATAGTGGAATTTTTGGGGTACAAACAAAAAAGTTGGAACATGGATTGGAGAAATGTGAAGTTTTTTTAATCAAAGAATTTATTCATCGTCTTCTGCTGCTTCCCCTCCCCCTTCCTCCCCGTCCCCTTCAGCCGGTGCTCCTGTGTCCGGCGCTGTCTCTGGCCGACTCTCTGCTACCACTTCAGTCTCATCAACACCCTGAAAATATAAACATTAACATAGTCAGTATTACCAAGGGTTCTCCATTCTATATTATTATAATTGAATTTCCATTTTCTGTATTGGATTGTATATCAATTATCATTGTCCTGTTTTGTTTATTAGTTAAAAAAAGGTTTATGTAAATTATAAATTAATGGAATTAAGGGTTAGTGGTTAAGATGCTCAACTTCCAATCCCAGGATCCTGGGTTCAAATCCCTAAAATTCAAAGAACTTACAATACAACTACTGTAAAAATCAACCCACTCATAGAGAATAAATTATTTGTTATCTTAACACCTTCTTATATATGTTTTGTTTATTTTTTACAATTGGTACAGCACGCAATTTTCCACTGATTGAAATAAAAAAGTACATTAAAATAAAATCCAAACCTCATTAACAATATACTTTTGTAAACCAACTGGAGAAACCCTCCAAGATGAACATTATAAAATGATCATATCAATTTGCAATGAGATGAACGAATGACCCAGATTAAAAAAAAAGAATATCAATAATATAAAAATTGTAATATTAGCTCTATAAAAAGGTACGAAACTAATAAGCAAATTCGTACTTTGAACTTCGCATGCCCGTACCCAAGGTCAATCGAGGTAAATTGACACAAATCTATGCTGTGTGTATGTTTGTTTTTCAGAGGTCTGTTTACGTTGACTGACCTTGATATGGGCATGCAGATTTCAAACTACAAATTGGCTGATTACTGACTACTAAAACTATTACCTTTTTAGACACATTTGATAGTTTATTTTTAATTTCTTTTATTAAATATTAGATGATTTCATATTATCATTCACACATACTTACTTCTACTTTATCTGTGTCATCGCCTTGCATTTGTTGGTCTAGCAGTGCCTGTGCAGCCTGTGCTATCCTTTCTGCATCTCTTTGTGATTGTTCAAGTTTGAAGTAGGCTGCTGCTCTTGCCATTACAACATCTCTTATGATTGCTGAAGAAAAAAACAAAGCAAAATGTTGGTTGGTTGGATGTTATAAATTATAAGGCACCTAAATAAATCCTTTTCATTTGATTGGTGGAAAATTGGAACTGAACTGTATAAAAGTTGATTTCTTTTTGATTACCAAATTGTTGCAAGTTGTTTGTGTTGAAACTTTTACTGATTGAAAGGAAAGTAGACCTAACTTTATTTTCCAGAAAATATCAAATGACAAGGATCTACATTTGATTATAAAACGAACCACCTCATTGAATGGAACAGTCAATCTTTAACTCATGAAAATAATCTACCCATTGCACTCATAAGCATAGCACAATTGATTTACTACAGTAGTACAGTCAAAATATGTTAACTGACTAAATTAAAGTCTGCCCTCAACCAACAAATTTGTGTCAGCGCTTGTCGATGCAACGCCACTCAGCTGACTGACGGCGACTGTCTGATTAGCCACTGAGAACATTCAATCGAGTTGAGGTCGTATTCAGG